CCGCCGCCTCCCCCGCTGCTCTCCCTCGATGACCTGTCCCGCCACTCCCCCTCGCCGCCGCCCTACACGCCTCCGCAGGCAGCCATGTCCCCTTCGCCTCCTCCCCCTCGCGGGGGCCTCTTCTCCACCCCGCAACGCTCCAACGGCTCCCCCTCCCCGGCGGCGTGGTGGTCCCCCTCGAGGGAGGAGAAGGCGAGGGATGGTTCCCCGGTCGACGGAGTCGTGCATCAGCAGCAGTCCCCGGGGACGGCCTCCGCACAGCAGCCGCAGCAGCAGCAGCAGCAGGTGGCGCTGATCACGCTGCCGCCGCCCAGGGAGGTCGCGCGCCCGGAGATGCCGAGGGATTCGGTGCTCTCCACTGGCCGGGTCGACGAGGAGGAATGGGTCACCGTTTTTGGGTATGTCGCCTCTCCTCTTGCTTACCCCGATACGAAGAATGCACTAGATTTCTGGTGGAAATTTGTGGTGTTCGATTCATATAGTCGTGTATGTCTATGCATAGGTTTTGTTGCAATTAGAGGTAAGGGTTGTTGTTTAAGTGATTGGTAAGTGACTGAAGCGGATCAGTGCACAATAAATTGGGAATCCAGTATATCTTGTATGAGGTACACCTGTAGGAGTTGTATGGCATGAGACAGAGCCATGTGGTGTTTCACCGATGCAGTTTTGAAATACTGTGCCCTTTTAAATCTGTAATTATGTTTTTTATACCAAGATTAGCTATATGATCTTAGCTGAAAACAATAGACTGCTGAAAATGATTGTTGACATTCATGCTTGAAGCAACATCAAAATACCCATCAAGTTACCATGTAAAAGAGTGATGTACAACTGAGGCCAGAAGTCCAATTGTTAACAAGTTGAATTTGGGAGGTCCTCCATTAGCCTAAGAATGATAATTTTCGGACATGGTACCGTTATGCTATTGCTGACTCTGACCAAATCACCAAACTTGTAAACACATTAACTGATTGGTATGTGACTGAAGTGGATCAGTGTACAAAAAAATGGGAATCATGTATGTCTTGTATGTGATAAAAAAGAACCATGTGCCGATTCGCTGATGCAGTTTCAACATACTGTGATATAATTGTGTTTTTATACCAAGATTAGCTATATGACCTTAGCTGAAAACAAGAGACTGCTTAAAATGATTATTTGCATTCATTTCTCCAGCTTAATGCTTGAAGCAACGTCCAAATAACAATCGTACTATGTAAAAGAACGATGGAGAGCCGAGGCCCAAAGTCCAATCGTTAACATGTTGAAATTTGGAAGATCATTAGCCTAAGAATGATAATTTTGGGACATAGTACCACATTATTATGCTATTGCTGACTCTGACCAAATCACCGAACTTGTGAACACATTAACCAATTCAGTTCCGCTAATTTTCTGGACCAAACTATATTTTGGTGGTTCGAGCCATCGATGTGCTGAGTGCTGACCTTGTGGAAATCTCTTAGTATTTGTGATTGATGAAATTTGTCACAGATTTTGTGGCGTTTATAGTCAAAGAGCTATTCGTTTTCAAGTTTTACATACCAATTGTTACAAAACAACCATGCCCGGCTGTGTCTGATGAGAAAGTGTTACAGTTCTCTTGTTATTTCACATGTGTATTGGGCTATGGACTGCATTTCCTGATTAGCACATGTTCTCTGTATTATATAGTTACTCGGTATATTTACGATTTGGTACTACCCTTGCACACTTGTTGGTTTTGTGATAGCTTATTATTCGCTATGTGTACCGTTCTGCGACCTTGTGTGAGTGGGAGTGATTTAATGTCCATATTCGATGGATTTATTTCTGCCTAAGAATGATGGTTTTCTATGCTTTCTCATAATATCATTTGTGCCCCTGTCATACAGATACCTACATTTGGTGGAAACTTAGCTTATCTGAAAGTAGGTGGTAGCTGAGGCGCCCCAGGATGGTAAGGCATCCGGTGTCCGCCCCACTTTATTAGACATTAAACGTACGACTGCTTCAGTGAAAGGTCCACTGTCGTCAGAGGTCTCTGCTAGCGCCTGTTTCTCGCTGCATCATCGTTGTGACCGCTTCTGGGGCTTGAAGACGATAACCCCACCATCCCCCAACACTCCGGCGAGCATCCCTTCATGCGCCTGCTTCCACCGTCGCCTTCCCTTGCCAGATCTACTCTGCTGTTGAGGAAGAAGGGATGCTGCGGTGAGGAGTTTTAGGGTTGTGTACTGCTACAGTAAGGAAAGAGAGCAGAAGGTGTGTGGCGGCTGTGATGAGGTAGTAGGGAGTGAGGATAGTGGAATTAGGTCACAGGAGGAGTCTACTAGATGGGCTTTTGGGCCACAGGGAAGTGCATAGGTAGTGGCCCATCTCTTGGTCTTCCTTATTTTTCCTTGCAATATATTCGTGCGTGCTAAACTGCTTGATTGCTCTGTTCCTTCTATGTCTAAGGCGTAGCCTTGCCACCTCGCCTTACTTTAGGAGGTTAAGCAATGAGAACAGCTGGTAATCTAGCAATAAATAGTTTTAGGAACCTTATGTAAGTTCTGCATCTAGACGTTGGATGATGCACTATAGTATATAGTCAGACCTCTGTTTGTAAAGCGTCGCTAAAGCGTCGCTTAACGTCAGAGCGCCCTCGAGGCTCAAGGCGTCCAAGTCGCTTTAGCTCTGTGTCTAAGGCGTCCGCTTTAGAGTTTAGAGCGTCTGAGGGCATGTACAAAGGAGGCATCACCTTCCTAATGCCTCAGCTCTTCCACCTAAGTAAAGATAGATGGGGCATCATTTAGTTTCTCAAACACTCAATGCATAGAGCTGCCCCATCAAGCCCATGTATAACGTATACAGCCTTGCTTTTTACCTTACTTTACATGCATAAGGAGGAGCTAGCTCACACCGTCTATCGCTTTTGCCCTCTCTCTCTTGCTTTTGTCACTAGGAGGCTACTTCCTCTGCAGGATCACGCTTTGATCTGCAAGCTACTGGTTGTGCCTACGTGGACGGATTAGAGTGATGTCAAGTGCTGGGGCAGCCGTCCACGGTGGCGCGTTGGCCATGCCCTGAAACGTCCGCTTAGGCGTCCTGGAGGGCGCTTTAGCACATACAGGACGCTTTAGACATGCCAGGCAGGGGAACACAGTTTTTAGGCGGGAAAGCTGGTCTGGGCAGGAACAAAAGGGCGGGAAACTGGGCTCACATGTGAATAGTAAGAGGAGGGAAAAGAGGGACCAAAACGTGCAGCTCCTGCTCCTCCCCCACCACTCCTCTGGCTCTCTCCTCTCTCCTCTAGCAGCAGCCCCCTCTCCAGATCTGGACCAGCTTCCTCCTCTCCGGCCACAACTCCTCCCCCTCCTCCTCTCCGGCTGCAGCTCCTCCCCTCCTCTTACTATTCAGTACTTTAGTCTAGTTTGTTGTGTCTATAAATCAGTATCTTACTATGGTTATCTATCCTAAATTCCTACTGCCCATTAGCTTCAGATCAGTCTAAAGCGTCGCCTCGCTTTATGCTTTACCGCTTAAGCAGTGAGGCGCCCCCCCAGCGCCTCGCTTCGCTTTACCGCTTTAAAAACATAGAGTCAGACATAACATCTGGATACACCTACCTATGCTCTCGTTGCATATGGAGATGTCCCTTGAACATATCAATAAGATTGCATCCCCACGGTCCCAGTTATACCCCTCTCATCTTTTCAGCTTCCGATGTAAAGACATGATTATTATTGTTGTACTTGAATATATATTTTCTTAAGCTATGTTGTTTGAAGCAGATATTCTCCAATGCATAATCTAGTTCATTAATTAATTTTCCTGTCCTGATTAAAATGTGCTTATATATTCTGTGTCTGATCATGCTCCTTGCCTTGTTTCTGCCAGTTTTCTGCCGGTTGATACCAACTTTGTACTGAGAGAATTTGAGAAATGTGGGTTAGTCTTGAGACAAGTTCCTGGTCCGAGGGATGCGAACTGGATGCATATCTTGTATCAGGTAAACTTGTACTGAATTGTTTGAGCATTGATACTTATAAAAGATCTCTATTTTTCCCTACTCATAATGAAAATATTAGCCTGAAAGTAATACTTCTAATATCATTGCATGTGAGGGTGTATCCTCAAAAACTTGAGTGCTCCGGTACTCTGTCTGCAAATACCACTCCAAAAGTCATAAAAAATTCAAGAAAATTTGAAGACAGAGACACAACATGTGTCAACTATGTCATGTTTTGAAATCCAAATTCCAATCTCAAATCTAGAAACAAAAAATTACAAATCCAGCTGTCAGTAGTATTTCATTCAAGTTGGGCTGTGAATTTTTGGCCCATTACCAGTGCCAGCACTGTATTTGTCATTTGTGTTTATTGAGCTACATATCGAGTTTGCATTTGAAATTTTGTCACAAGATAGATACATGCAGTGTCAGTGTTTTCAGAATCTTTAACGACTTTAGATAGTCTGAAACATATGGGTGTATCAAAATGACAGTAGCAGTTAAGGAAATTCAAAATCACAGAAGCAGTTAAATACACCAAATCTTTGCTAGCTTATGCATTTGTTTCTGAAATGAAAATAAAATGAAGACTGAAGCAAAGTGACAAAACAATTCCTTCTGTGGTCTGTGCACCTACTCTACTATATCAGCATATCATATGAAGTGGTGATGGACACAATGGCCAATTTTGCCCTGTAGTTTGATTGTCCTTTACTATGACACAGTGCCTTGATGTGCTAAGCTTTGCCTACCATCAATTATTTTATGTGGGGCCTTGCTAATGTACTCTAGTTGAAACATGTACAGTTAGTAGAAGTATGCAAAATTCCACTTTAAGACCCCCGTTCCGCCCCTTGTTGGTTGTGGGTCAGTTTCATAGCTGATTTGTATTTCCTTTTGTATGTTTCAGAGCCGTCATGATGCGCAGAAAGCGCTGGCCAAGCACGGCCAGCAGCTAAACAGTGTTCTTATCATTGGGGTGAAGCAAGTGGATCCATGGCAGCGACCGTATCTGAATGAAAACACCGACGACACCTACAACGGTGGCATGTCGGTTCCATTTCCGTCACAAGCTGTGGCGCCGAGCGGTTTCGCCACCAGGAACGCGTTGGCACCTTTGCCGAGCAATCCCATGCAAAACGGCAACGAGAGCAACCGCGGGGCGTCCGGAGCCATCGCTTCGCCCGCGAAATCGGTCCTGTCCAAGGTCATGGACGTTATGTTTGGCCTCTAAATTCTGTTGGCTAATCTGATTGTGGAAGAATTTTGTTGGTGATATTACGGCAAAGTGGGGATCAATGGTAGATGTTATTTGCCATAACATATGTTTTCCTGCTGTTCGTTTTCGTTCAATGTCTGTGCTATTCGTCGTGCGTGTTTGAAATTTAATGATTCCGGCCTAATGTTGGACACGTCTTTACTGAAAGATTTATATAGCACAGAAAAATGGGATGGTGCCTTGACGTCTAGTCGGCCTGGAAACAGGACGCGAACGGTTCCCCCGGTGGAAACAACGGATCCGGCTTTGCTTCTGCTCTGTTGTTCTCTGTATCTTGCAGGAACAGAAAAGAAAAGGGAGAAAAATGGAGGTTGACCTTTGTTAGTCAGCTCCCCGGTAGACTTTCAGCACACATTCTGAATTCTTCAAGATTAGGGTATGAACGCAAACGGTTTGACAAACCGAAATAGCTGACGGTCGATCATTCGTTGACATGGCACGATTAAGTCAATCCAGCTCGCTAACTCAACATTAATAGTACTACTATGCTCTATTTTTTGCCGGGGAGTAGTACTATGCTGCTTATAGCAGTACTGATTAAACGTAATTAACTCGATAATCAACAACATCAAGTACGTCCTGGCGGCTCCAGGTCAGAATTCAGCACGTCTTTTGAACAAATCAATGACAAATGAAGTACACGGAAATGTCAACCAAACTATTTTGGTACAGCAAAGTAAACTGAGATCTTTCCAGAATTGTGGGCTAGCGCAGGCTGCAAAATGTGTGAAGCCGCCACGTTGGGATCCTTGCGCCTGCAGAAATAACATTTGTCTGAATCAAAAGCGTACATCTTTTGTACTATTGAATCAAACGCTAGAAGTTTTCTCTCTTTGAGACAACATTACTAATATTATCTAGGAGCGCCTCCGTCTTCAAAATAGTTTTGTACGTCTTCTCAGCCGGCCAAGTGTCTCCCGCAAGGCTGTCTTTACCGGAGGCCGTACACGGAACACTGCATTTTATAAAAGACATGAGATCGTCCTCTTTGCCAATCCTGGACATTTTAAAATCATGTGGAAACAGAGGGAGCACGTACTTAAAAACATATAGTATTAGTACTTGATAGACCAAACATTGATAATTTATGCGTAATACCGTGGCCATTTGGAATTTTGTTATGACACAAACCTCTCAACCGAAAAGGCAGCTTCCAATCACTATTCTTGAATAACAAATGCAGTAATACCCAATCGGGAAGGGCGATGCGGCCTTGTCTTTTTTTTTTGGAGAATCTTGTGGGCTTGTCATTAGTTTGGCCATTAGTGATGGGCAATCACTGTCAAAGGAGGTAGTTAACGACCTGATCACAGCCGAGTCAATGAGACGTTTTGGGCATCTTTGTTTTAAAGAAATATCGTAGGAATATTTGAGGATTTCGTTCCTTGGAATCTTTTCTATAGAACTTTTGGTTAATAGGATTAGAAATCACGGGGTTATTCTGCCCAAAAAAAAGCATAGGGGTTTTCTATGGTCTACTTTGCATGGAAATCCAAAGGAAATTCCTATTCAATGCAACATCATGAGCTTTCTTTGTTATTTCTATGACAACTATATTATGTGCTTAATCTTTTAGTAAAATCCACATGTATTTCTGAGGTGCAGAAAAACTACTTCTATTATAGAATCAATCATGTGTTTTCAATTCCCATAGGAATTAATATGGCATGGTATCTCGATCATAGGTTTTCTGTATTTCTATATTTTCACAATCATGTAAACCAAACAGACATTGGTTGTCAATTAAGCGCAAAAGCAACCGTTATAATTATAATTCTAAGATAATTGCACCACAAATAGTGTAACTACACTATCTTTTAGGTATGTGATCACT